ATAGTGTAAAATGTGTGGGACAGATTTTCAAAATAGGAATTTTTATACTTATGTATGTGGGAAATTAAGTCAGATACATTTTAACTAATGAAAATCTATTGATGAAATTGAAGAAAATATCTGCTGAATCTGTTTTTATCATGTGAATATTGTGAACATTTTGTCACTAATGAAAGCTCAACTTCAACTTATTGTATGTATAAATGTTTCTGTTTCGTACTTTTAAACTGTGACATATATTTTGTCTCTTGTGTTTTCAAGCTGTTTAACAAACAGATGCATCATTATTTAGTGCTCCATGTATAGCCAAGATATGCATGCATTACTAGGATCCATGCATGTTTGCTTTCCAAACTCTGCAAACTCTGGCTAGTGTAGCTTACTGAGACTGCAGGTGTTGTTTAAAGAAACCACAAGCAGTAGTGCATCTGTTTGCCTTGTGGCAGAATGTCCCTTTAACATATGTAATAATAGCTGCATGTCAAAAACAGCGCCAAAGTATGCAGTTACATAATAGGTTCAGCAGGTCATAGCATGAAAGTTACAGCAACAGAAGCAGTAAATGAAAGCAGTAACTAAAATAAAGCTTTTAAGAAAATGTGATATGACAGACATGAAGGAGTGGGGTACCTGCCTGTTCTGGTAGGCTAGTCAAGCTGCACAGGGCTGGGCTGTGAGGACATGTCTCATTAAAGGAGGCTGGGCCCAATTGATGCTTGGGGAATTTTTTTTCTAACAATTTGGTCAGAGACATGCAAATTAATAGCCAGATGGAGGAGGCATTCTTCACCCTGTTCCTACTCAGACAAAGGAGCAGATATCTATTCTACTGGGTATATGCCTGTATGTGGACCTGTTCAACTCTCCTCTCTATAAAGGCTCAGTATCTCAAGACTAGAACAGGATGTATCTACACTCTCAAGACTGTGCAAGGAGATATAGCATGTGTGGTTACACTATCATTCCTTTCCAAAAATAAACTAAAACCATCAGCAGGATATG